CTGCTGAGTCTCCCGAGGCTGGGCAACTGCTGTCAGTGCAGCTGGTGGAGATAATGAGAATTGGTGAACCGGAGATGTTGCCAATTTGTATTTTGTGCTCAGTTTTCATGGCTGTAACATTCGGTTCTGAAAGTCCGTGCTGCAATTAGAATCATGGAATCATTACGGTTGGAAAGACCTCTAAGATCCCTAGTCCAACTGCCAACTCATCACCACCACAACCACTGACCACGTCCCTCAGTGCCACATCCACACGGCTCTTGAACACCTCCAGGGACAGTGACTGCACCACCTCCCTGGGCATCCTGCACCAGTGCGTCTCACTGCTCTTCCTGACAAGAATTTTTTCCTAATATCCAACCTGACCTTCCCCTGGTGCAACTTGAGGCCATTCCCTCCCATCCCTATTGCTGCTACCTGTGAGAAGAAGCTGACCCCAGAGGTACACTTGGATACCTGGTGCCCAGGACAGGATGAGACTCAGAGCTACCTACTAGCTGTGACATGTGTCATGTATGTAGGGTCCAGCCACCTCAGCGTGACTCCAGAAATAATCACATCAATCAACCAATGTATGATTAAAAAACATCTCCTCCATGCTTCCATTAAAAGCTTGCTTAGGTAGCTAAATGGTTTCACTACAGTCCGTTTTTAAAGGCACTTAACATCAATAATATACTCTCAATAATTTTACTTGATTAACCTAAGGGCAATTGATATTGTTACTGGTGAGCTGCCAGTCCTGTCTGCCCCCGTGTGGCTGTGGTGAACCTAACAGAAGGCTCCTGGCAATGTGTCTAGCCAGCGACATCAGTACCCATCACTTCAGTCAGAGCTTACAGCATGGGGGATCACACCATAACCACACAAAAAGGCTGTGCTGAGACATTCCAGGCCCAGCTGCATCCTTCACACTAGAGCCATTCAGAGCAGCCTGTAGGTCATTCTCTTAATCTTGGAGTATCACTGCTAAACTCGACATCAGCACGGTGCTTCCCTGTATCAGCTGATAGGCTAGCAGGCTATGTTCATTAACCTGACATTGTTTTTTTCATGAATATCAAGTTGTTGCTTACAGTTAATCAATTCTGAAGATAGACCTCAATTAAGCCACCCTCCTGCTCTCCTGTTTATCAGGAAGGCACTTTAATTGCTTGTTTTCCTATAAAAATATTTCCAGAATGCTGAACTCTGCAATGTTAGCCTGAGGACAGAGTTATGAAACTCTCACAGAAATACATGTCAGCTGACTGCCAGGCTGTACCTTCCAGTAAGCTTGGCATACCTCATTGATGACATGTTCAAGAAAAAAATGCGCAGGTGTTTTAGTACAATTGGCAGTAAGCTCATTTTTTAAACCAGTATCTTATTTAAAATTGCTTAATGCAGGGAAGAGAGAGTCATTAGCTGCCAGCTCTCCACCAGCTCCTCCTGCCCTGCCAAGGCCTAGCAGGCACAGTGGAAAAGGAAGGAAGCCACTGGTGGGAGTGGAGGCATCAGGTAACAAAGTGTTCACTGAAGTAGCCTGTTTGCAGCCATTTTTCAGGGCTAAAAGTTAGAACAGGCTCTGAAACCACTGTAATAAATCAAGGGCTGATAGGATAATGTATCACTTCTCCCTTCTGACTTCTCTAAGATTATCTACTGCACCAAGCATCTCCCAGCATGCCAATGACTTACGTAGTGCTGTAGCAGCACTACGTCCATCCAACCTTGTTCCAGGCTCACCAGTTAGGTTATTTAGTATCACATGCACTAGTCTGCAAACTTCTTTTGTTCAAGCATACCACAAAGCGCCACACTGTCTTGAGGGAACTCTTAACCTAGACAGATGGCACTGACTGGCATACTGAGACATGGCTAACCCTGCTCTCCTCATCCTCTCTCAAGAGCTAGGTCATCCAGCGCCACTTGCTCATGGAGTTGTATATCAAAAGGCACAATTTGGATTACGGGTTATTGAACAGAACAAACTCACTAACGTGGATTCCCTTTCATTCAGAATTCAGAGTGAATTCTGCAGCTTTGAGGACTGAGGATGACATAGCTTGAGATGCTGACGAGTATCTCACTTTTAGTTGTTACCTATTAGCAAGGAAAAGGCCGATCACATATGGCTGTTGAACAACATGTTTAAAAAAAAAAAAAGCACAGTGCCTTAAAGAAAATTGTCACCAAAAAGATGTCACTAGACTGGGACAGCATCAGAGCTGAATCAGAAGTGACTCAGCCACCATGCAGTGAGAGCACATCTGCTTGGGATAAGAGCTTCACCAGCTGCCTCTGAGCTAGGTCATTCCCCTCACCAACTCCCCAGTCCCTGAAGATGAGCACATATCAACATAATGCATAAGCAGAGTCAAGAAGAGCTACTACCCTGCCAGACACAAAGGGCACAAATTTTGGTATTCTTCCATCCTTCCATCACCTCTGCCCCAAAGCCTTTCAGTCCTGAGTGTTCCTGTTCCCCGTTGACACTCCTTGAGTGTCCATGCAGAACTCAGAAGTGAGATTGTAGCAGTCAATGTTTTATTTATTTATTTATCTTTCCTAGCAAAAATTGATTACTTGCAAACTCAAGCCCCTCTCCTACCCTAACACTTAATGGACTAGAGCTCTCAATTTCCATAACGGCAACGGAAACTATCGGTCAGTGCCAAATGGCTTCTCAAGAAGGAGGAGAGAGTTAAGACTGGCAGTGGTCAATAGCCACACATTTATGTACACAGTGCATGAGAGGAAAAAACTTGCTCTTATATGGTTTTATTGTCTTTTCACTTTGTTGGTCTGATACATTATTTGCTTTTAGTAATCTCACTATTTTAGACAATCTCTTTGTTTTGAAGCCACACCACAATTCTTTTGTCAAATTTCCAAAATGTCTTTTGTCTTCAGAGCAGTTAGGCTCCCCATTGTATTCTTGAGTTGATGCTCATTTGTAACCTGACCAAAAGTACTGAATAAAATAGAGAAAAAGGATGAAATTCTTCATTATCCTTCCCGCAAGTGAGAGTTGGCTGTAAGAAGAATGCGCTGTAGTATCTAAAACTAGTGACCAGAGATCTTCCATCTTACCAAGAATCTAAAGGCAGATGGCACTGCTGCATCCATTGACCCATGCATTCATGCAATACCAGCTATGCAGTAACAGTAGCAAGAAACTCATTTGGTTTAAGTCAGTGAGGTTAAGATCCTAGGAATGCAGAGAAATACTAGCATAGTATCTTTGTCATGAAAAGTTGTCTCCTTCCCAAGAGCACAAAATATCTCAATTTCACCATTTACCATCCTAAAAGTTCTCCAACGGATACCTTGTGGGGATATGCTCTCTGAAGGAAAGGCAATCTAATGCTAACTCTACAAGCCCATTTGATTCAGTGACGTTATGTCTTCTCTGTTCAACACAAAAAGTCCCTCCGTATGTACTTGCAATCATATAACAGCATTAAGAAGAATTTACTTCAGAGAGCTTGGGTTTCTTCTGAAAAGAAAACTGAGCACACGCATATCCCAGGACCTCTCATTTCTTAATCTAAAGGTTGTTCCTCCCTTCTTTATTCATTCCAGCGTCAATACTCATTACTGCTCTCCAGAAGCACAGAGGTAGATCTTCATCACACTTCATTGCTTTCCATGGTACCACACATTGTGCCCAGGTGCAATGAGCCTGCTCTGACAGCACAGACCGTGGCTGTTTTAAACTCTGCCAAGCTGCCAGGTGCTTTTTCCAACCTGTATGATGCTCTGTAATCCTTGCTATTGAGAACAAGAGGCTAGGTTCACTATGATGTTCCACAGCCTTCAATGGGGAAAGCAGGCATAGCATACTGAAATCCAATGACCTAAGCAGGAGAACTGTCCAAAAACACTCAGAAGTAATAATGCTCAGATTCATAGTAGAGCTCAAAGGAGAGCACCTCGCAAGGCGCCTAGCCTTTCTTTTTGCCTGAAGTGAACAGACACCACATCCATGTCTTTTTTGATATGCCCTTGTCTTGTAAAACATCACTGTTCCCATACCCTTTTTTACAAAAACATATGTAACTCTTCATTCCCCAACCTGTATTTGTGAATATTATTGTCTGTGTAGTTCCTGGCATTTGTTCCTTCTAATTTTCATTCAACTTTTTCAAATCGTTTCTCTGAGCCAAAAATTCATTTAATTTATAGCCATGTCCTCAAACACATTTGGAGTCACAGAATCTTTAATGTTGGAAAAGACCACTAAGATCATCTAGTCCAACCATCAGACAACCCCAACCGTGCCCACTAGCCATGTCCCTTAGTGCCACATCTACAGTTTCTCAAACATCCCCAGGGATGCTAGGTGCCTGCCTCTCTGGGCAGTCTGTTCTAATGCACTGCCGCTATTTCTGAGAATATTTTTTTTCCTAATATCTGAATATCTGAACATCCCTTGGCACAACTTGAGGCCATTACCTTTCATTATTTTCCTAGCTTTGTGCAATACCCGAACATGCATACTCGCTAGCTATTATGGACACAGCAGACAGGCACAGAAGCAGAGTACAGTTCCATTCAGGACATCCATCATTCCTTCCAATCCAGCATCGTCAATAACTATCATATCCTAACCGATTTTATAGTTCTCCCAGCGCTGTTTCGTGGCCTTTTTATACCCAGCTACATGGCAGAGGATAGGCCTAGCGCAGGGCTGTGCAGAGGGATATCTGCACTAGGCACCTGTGCGATCTGGATGCTGGAGGCAGAAGGGGGGTGTTGGGTTGGCTGTGCAGCGCCTGGAGAGCTGCCAGCTATCAGTAGGGCCTTGTGCCTTAAACCGACCACAGATCCTTTCCCCCTTGGCCAGACCCTCGGATCGGCCAGTCGGGACCCCCCGCGTTCCCCGCTGCCAGCCCCGCGGAGCCACCCCTGCAACACGGTCCCGCTCCGGGAGCTCCGCACCGCGCCTACCGATAATAGCGGTCATCCTTGTAGGGGGTGAGGTCCTCCCTGATCTCCCGGTAGGTCTCCCGTACCCGCTTGCAGAAGCGCTTGAGCTCGCCGCACAGCGGGCTGCCGAAAGCGGCGAAATCCGCCTCCATGCCGCCTCAGGCGCAGCGCTCCGCCATGCCGCCGCACGGCCCGCCCCGCGCTGCGCAGCTCCTCGGGGTGGGGCTTCCGCTCGGTGCTGCTTTTTCAGCACTACGGACAGCGGCAGCCGCGGCCCAGGGCCGAGGAGAGACCTCTGCTTCAGCTGAGCATCCCTGCGAACAGATGGAGGCTGAATGCCTTATATACATATATACGCAAACCACTCTATTCTTAAAAGCATTCTGCCTCTGTTTACAATGAATGCCCTGATTATTCATAATCTCTTTTACCTTCCTGACCCTCTGGCAGCCTAATATGCGTAAAAGAAATGCTATGCTAAACCTTCTTTTCACAGTCGTAAGGCTGCAAAGGGCCCGACCTTAGGAATTACGCTGTTTGGAGTTTAAGAATGGCTTCTACTGATGCCTTTTCACTTGGAATAGTGCTGTGTCACCTTCACCTATGTTAGACTTTAAACTTTCCTCAGTAAACACGACTCTATCAATTCCAACCTTAATATTTTTCATGAATTGAATTCACGTCAGCTGTGGTGAGCATACTAAGAATGAAAGCTTGCTGCTGCTACTGATACATTATTATTGTTTCCAGAGAGCATAGATATAAATCTCAAAATCTGCTTTACTGTCTTTCCCATGGAAGCATCTTCCCTACGTGAGTTCAGGAAGTCAGACTGAGCTGTTTTGCAGTTTTGCCCTCAGTCTACATTTTATCCCTTGTAGTTATCAGTCAACTTCCACATCGCATCAAGATGAGGTACACGAGATGTCATTTCAGGTGGTGCAACCTGACAACATGGCTCCCACCATAGGTGGGGTAAGGAGAGGAAGAATTGTCTTCAAATGAGAAATTTTCCTTCCCAGCTCTGGGAATTTCTACGTCTGAAAAGACATAGGCAACAAGATAAAAGCCACACACACACACACACACACACACACACACACACACACACTTAGGCTGGAAGGCTACAAACAATAGAACATGAACTGTTCTGGCAGAAGGCCCAAAGAGGAGCAAAGAGACTCGCCACTTTAGGGCAGAGCTTGATCATTAAAACAGACAATACAAAACAGTCACTAGTATTAAAACCACCTGCCTGTCTTCTTTTGGCAAATTCTAATGAATTAAACCATAACTCCTCAGGAGCCAACTGATCACACTGCTGTCTTTATAGGTTATCATTGTTTCCTGCCTATTTGGTACATTCATGGATTACAGTAGGCTGGCACAGAAAAGCATCCAATTCTGCAGATTGCACAACTTCATTAAAAGCAAAGGGAGGTCAAAGACTCACAGTTTTGACAAGATGCAAGAGCAACCAGCAAATTCCCTGCACTTTGACTCTGAGGGCAACAACTTGTCATATGCATTTCAGGGCACTTTGAGAACACTTAAAACAGCAACTTCTGTGTCAGTCTTGTTTGAGTTCTGCTGCTTTTTACAGCACATAATAAGAGACAGGCAGCATCAAACTGCATCTGGGAACAAGCCAACCTAAAGCAATGTTGAGAATCCTATAAATCTCAGTTAGAAGCTAAATGTCTGGAACTTCATACATCCCCTGGGTGCTCCCAGCGAGGGGAAGAACAGCCCCAGGAGTCTATAACTACAACGTGATCAAGCTCAACATCTGCTCACTGCGTGCAGCATATAATCTCATGTGGATAAGGTTTATTTTGGAGGTGGAGCTTAACAGAAGTCTTCAACATAGTTTTTCTTTCCGATTCTCCCCTGTGTATAGTTAGCATTTTACACATTAGCCACATACATTAGATTCCGATAGTATCTAAACACAAAGCTTAGAAATCCAAGTAAATGCATTCAGATTATTACTTTAGGCTCTTTCAGAAGAAACAGTAGCTGGTGCTGAGAAGGTGAAGAAATACATGCTGCCAATTGAGGTCCTTCTTATTATTATTATTTATTTTTTTTTTCCAGCAAAAGAAGAAAAAGCACAATCAGGCACAGCTGTTCAGAAAATATTTTCCCCTTCAAAATTGCTCTGAGCTGGAGAGAGGCAGCTTCAGACTGCAACAACTGCTGTTTCCCTTCAGAGGGGAGCTAAGGACTGGCACATCAGATCTCACAGAAAAAAACACAGATGTTCATGATAACTTTCCCAAGGTAAGACAGTATAAGCTGCTGTCATCAGGCTGCAAATACACGTCTGGATCTAGCTGCCTGCAGGAGCTGTCAGTGAGCATCCCTGAATAGGATGAGTAGAAACTGTGCTAAGCCCCACAGGAACTTCAAGACCTTGGTCTATCCCACCATCTTCTTCACTACAGCCTTGATAGGGGAAGAAGATAACCCCTGCCTGTTCCCAAACCACCTTGGTTTGACTGTTGCCTCCTGTCAGAAAACCAGTTGGTCACAGCTAATCAGTTCCATGCCTGTGGCTGTTGCCATACGGCCCTTACTGCTCCTGCAGAGGATCACGGGGGTGTGCTGGGTCACTCACAGTGATGCAAGGCTGCTCGTTTATTTGAAGAGTGGCACAGAGGCATCAGCTAGGACAGCCCTTGACAGATCATCTTTAGCAAATAATCTCTTAGCTGACAGGGGCTTTGGAGCCATGGCTGGGCTTGTCATCACTGTAAGGAATGAAGCTTTCGGCAACTCGCTGCAGCTGGGAGTCCTGACTCCTCAGATCAGTCAGGCAAGAAACACTCATCTCTTCCTGTCTTCAGAGACAAATTTTTCTGCCTGCTTTGAAGAGATGGGAAGACAAGAAAATAAAATGAGATCTACAATTTCTTTTGATCAAAAGATAAGAAGATTCCCTTTGAAAGGTAGTTTCAAGGATTGGAAAGAGGAAAACTTAATTACCACTGATGGTATGGCTGGGATGGAAAAGCCCACTTGGAAAGCAAAGGGAAGACCTAAACGGACTAATTGGGAGCATGACAAGGATGCGTAATCAATGAATATATATATATATATATAAATGCTATAATTAAGAAATATACAGGAAAGTTAGTCTAAACAGGTTATCACACTAAAGAAGAAAGCTTACCCTTGTCCTGGGCTCACTGAGAAGACTCCAAGAGGAGCAATCTCCAAAAGAGATTCTTCCCCAGTGGTAGTCAGCTCTTACATGGGGTTTAGGAGAGATGGAGCCAGGCTCCATCCCTTCCAGTAGCACAGGAGAATTGTCTTCACCTGTGCTCTCAGGGCTAACTCATTGCTCGCCTCAGGTGGTCAATCATAGGTTCAGGCCGTGATTCAGCAGTTCTCATATACAAAGGTCCTAAAGTTACATTTTAACGTGGTGTTTTAGTGTGATTACTGGCTTTCAAGCATCAATCGCAGTTGGAATAAAAGTTTCTGATAGCACACAGCAGTTTAACTATCCCTACTCATGTTAAAAATGGTAGTTGAAAGGGAAGATAAAAACTCAACAACTTGTGACTTCTAGGTAATAAACAGTGAAGTCTTAAGACTACTCACTTACTTTTAATTACTGTTTACCGTTTGTATTTTGGTTTCCTTAATCAGTGAAATAGATCATCATTTTTTACTTCCTAATTCTCACACAGCAGAATGTAGCAAGCATGCCTCATAAGCACTATCTTCAAACCATACAGCTTTATTTTCTAGAAAGTTAAAAAATGTTTGAGAAAATACATATAACGTTATATGCTGCCAGTTATAAAGTGTGACTATAAAGTGCCTATTTTAAGCAAAACATTTGATGTGTATGCTTTATGTTGATTTTAAGATGCCTATTATCCTTTCTTTGAAAGTCAGGTCCCTTGTGAGATAAAATCTCATCTTTTAGGAATATACAGTATTAATTGAATAACAATATGGCAATAATAAGGCTAAATGTGGGTGGCAGGCTGATATAAAGACAGGGACACCAACGTCAGGGTCAAAACAGTCTTAACACAAGGAAATCTAAGTTAATTAATTGTCAGTTGAGATCAGTATTTCAGTCCTCTCCATGGGCAGTGGTCCCTTTGACAGGGCGTCACGGAGCACCTTCTCCTCCTCCTCCTGCCTTGGTGCTCCCTGATGTTTCTCACTCTCTTTGTCCCCCCTCCTCTCTCTGTCCACCATTTTCTGCCCTTTCTTAAGCACACTTTCGCTGTGGTGCCGCCATCTTGGTGGCGGGGCCCAGCCCTGCCCTGAGGTGGGGCCATCAGAGCAGCCTGGAACCAGCTGTGTCCAACCCACGGCAGTCCTGCCCCCACATCACAGAGGCCTTGCAGCCTTCTTGCCGCCAAAATCTTGCTACTTGAGCACTACATATTATTATTCTGATGACACTTTAAAATTATTTATAACTGTTCTGTTTGTTTCTGAACTGTTTTACATATATCTCAAGGGAAGCAATTAAACAGCAAAATAATGAAAAGTGTCAAAAGTTTTGGAAAGCTTCTCCTTTCCCTCTTAGAAGCAGATTATTGCCTGCATGCACAGCCACATGTACATCAATGAAAACAACCTTTAGGTACTGCTACATCTAACCAGAAACATGCAGTAAAACAAAGGTTTTACTCTGTGCCTGTGCGCCTCCTCTCTTCAGCTAATTGCTTCTGAACCACAAAGCAAAACACAAGATTAAATACAGAACGTGACATGCAGCAACTTATTTTTACTCAAATAGAAAACGTAGGCAACTAGTTTTGCAGCCCACATTGCAGAATTACCAGCATTTTGGAATTAACCAGCCCAGCCTGCACAAACCAACAAATGTGTCTCTTTCTCATTCACATAGGACTGCAGCTAATTTGCAGGACTTGGGTGTAGTTCTAAGCTCCCAGATCTAAACGTGTGTAGCCAATTCAGGAGCCCATGCAAAACAGGGCCTCCTCATCCTCAGGCCCTTGCTCCTCGTTCCGGTGTAGGAAGGAAAGAAAACCTCTGTGTGCAGAGTGAAGAAACCAGTCATGTCCTCCTGCCAGGTCAGCATCTGGCTGATGAGGGCACTAAGAATGTAGCCAATGCCTCTGGAGCTAATTCTCCTTTTGTCATTGCATCTTTCACACAACTAACCTCTGCATGTAACCAAAATGCATTTAAACAGAACAGTGTTGACTGGAAAATCTCACAGGATGGAGAACCCATGATTTTGTTCCCATGTCAATCATTTCCTTCACTGAACGCATTCTCTTTGTATTTGGTTTTAGCTTCCCTCGTCATTAGTGCCTGTTGTGCTTTTCTCTGCTAAACTGAAGTGCCTTTTGATACCAGCATTTTAATTTTTTAAGATACTGAGAATTGTTCAATTATGCTCTTCTCTGAAATAAGCTAAATAGACAAAACTCTTGCCGCAAGGCATTTTATTCAATTTTTGAACTTCACTATTTTTCAACATCCCCTCTTTTTCCAATACTGTTTAAAAACCTAAGTACTAGAAGCACACACAATACTCTGTCAGGTGATATCAATTCCCTACTTTCAGTGCCCTATTTAAAAATCTAAGGATCGTGCTCTCTTTTTCTAAGAACATCTCTTGGATCTGCTAACATATCACATTGAGATACTTGTCTGCTCTGACCTGTAACTCATCAGACTAGCAGCTTTTTGAGCTAAATTACTGATCTGGATATATATATGTACATTCCTTGCTCCTAAACATCTAACTTCACATTTGCCTGTAATAAAATTGCATTTTGTCTGCAATGTCTTCTGGCGTTCTCCTAATTACCATTCTGGCATTTTTGTGCCATGTCCAGATTTTATAGGTCACAGTTCTGTATCTGCTTTTGAGTCCTTTTTATCATCAGATCTAGTACTCTGCAAAATCCTGTCAGAAATACTCTGTTCAGTGGCAATGCAATGCTGTAGGCTATGTAAGTTCATTCTTAATCCACTTAAAGCACATCTCATTCACACTAGTTATTGCTAATTTCTTCATTAAAATCCAAGGCAGTGCTTCACCAAAGGCCCTATCTGCAAATTGAGGTAATAACCTCAAATAATGGTGTCAAAGCACACAGCAGGGTAAGACCTCTTTTTTACCATAGTGACATATCACCTAAAATAAGTTTCTTATGGCTTATATCCTTATATTCCAGTTTAACTGACTCCTATATCATTCTTTTTATTAGTTTGCTTGCTCCTTGGGTCAGCATGTGCGGCCTGCTACATACCTACTTTTCCTCCAGTATTGTTAGCTAAGCATTCTCTCAGGTTCCTGGAATTTCTCACTTTGAATGTGTTAATAAAAATGAACATCCTTCTCTGGAATTGTCATCAGCCTACTTTATGCCACTCGTGACAACAAATCAGCCACTTTGAACCTTCTGAAAAAAAGAGTGAAAAGAGACAAACTGACATAGATCCATTCTGGGCATTACTGCAACTCAGTAACTACTACCTAACAAGGGAGTTTGGCATTCAGTTTAGTACAAGTGTAAATCCACCTATTTTAGTAGAAGAAGAAAGAAGACATTGCAAGTTCTCAAGTCTCGCAATATGTTCTCCAGTAGTACTATGTGATATCATCTTGCATTGCTAGGGGGAAAACATAGCTAGTAGATCCCACACTTTTTCCTTGAAGTTAGTTCATGTACTCTGTAGCTTGTCTCACAAGAGAGACTTGCTTGTAGAGCTAAAATTGCAAAACTGACTCTGAAGCTTGTGACACTGCTTGGTGTCATGTAATTTTTGCTTCTTTGTGCACAAAAGGAATTTCCTGGGAAGTATTATTTGGGAGTTGCACAGTCAGTTTCAAGCTGTAGTAAGATTCCATTCAGTCATTGCCACCCACAAGAAATGGCTGAGAATTATTAATATTACAGCTTTTGGGATCAGTGACAAACTATGTCCACTTCCTGCTTACTGCATCTGTGCTTGGAGCAATTGGAAATGATGCAGCTTACTCTCATCTCTGCATTGGTCCCAGATCTGAAATGCTTTGATGATTCAAGCTGTCTCTCCTGGCTGACTGTGGGTGTACTCCCTGATTGCTCAGGGAATTACAGTAAATATTCCTCCTGCTGCCTTGCTCAGATTCACTGCTTTGCAGTCTCAGGGGATTTCTGTTGCAGCAAGAATGTGTGTTTCACATTTATTTTTGTGATGTACCATTACACACTGCTGCAGTCTCTGGTTCCCTGACCTTCTCTGCCTTTCCAAAGGTGATGTTAGTCACTACTGCTGCAGTCTGAATGTTCATTCATCACCTTCTCCATAAGCAGGCTTCCCCCTGGGTGGATTCATACAGGTGTGATGAAATAGGATGAACTGCCCTGTATTTCTGTGCCCACCACTGTACACCCTGAGAACCAGAGGTTTCCTCGTGGATCTGTCTGCCCACTTTACAATAGCGAAGAGAGATTTACACGCTTCTTACAAGTAACAAGTATCTTACAAGTTCTTACACGCTGCTACAAAAAGCCCCTGTCGCCCACCACACTACAAAAACAGTGCAGAATCATCTTCCTTTGAGACTTGGTGATATGTTGTATTACACAATACGAAACCAAAGTGTTGTGCTGGAGATGTTATTTTTTACGGCTTAACGAAAACATCAAGGGACATAAAGAATGGAGCAGATAAAAGGAAAGCTATTAGGATGCAACACTGAGGAGCTGAAATAATGGATTATTCAACTACTCTGAGTCAGGCACAGATAACAGTTGTTATAGGGCTTCTCAGTGTCCCTGTGCTAGAAAAATCGTTGTCAAAAACCACCTGGGTGGAAAATCCAGTTAATTTGGTGAGCTTGCTGTGTATAAAGCTCTTGTGAGTAGCACTGAGCTCAGACTTTATGAACCAAGGTCAGAAAATTCAGCTTCTAGTGTCGTTTGAAGTAGCAAAGTTTACTAATGCTTTTTGAAGACATGAATGTTGCAAGATTTTGTTCAGGTTCTACAGCCTTTGTCAGCCTGCAAGCATTGATAAAGCTTTTAAAAATGGTGCCCTCCCTGTTGGCAACAATTTTTTCCATTATAACATTTAAGCTTTAATACTTACCAGTCAAAAATTGATTCTTAATACAATAACAACAATCCACTGTTCAGAGGCACCATAAAAAGATGGCATGTTTCCCTTTACATGCTAATATAAAACATTCACAAGATTTTATTTCAAACAACATAATTCCCCTCCATATCTTACAAATTTTCAGTGA